ATCCAGAGAGGAAAATATCAAGGGAGGAGTTAAGTGGAAGTTGAACTTCAGTTAGAAATCATTACACTTTATCTAAGTTCTCTTTTTTTGACACTTAAAATGTCATTTCATGATGTTTTTGTTCAGTCTTTTTGATTTTTAGTATGAGAATGAAATATTAAGACATTTCACACACACTAACACCTTTTTTCAACTTGCACTCACTGTATACATGCGTGTAACCGCTCATTGTTTCACTCTCACTGCACCAAATCCTTCATATGAAGTGGAGTGTGCAGCACTGAATGAGTAACTGTTGGCTTTTGCAGAGCGAGCGGTGACTACGGACGGCCGTTACATGTTCCCAGCGGAGTTGGTACAAGGTAGATTCAGAGGGATAAGGAAAAACAGCCACTTTCACATGTTCTTCAGGCTGCTTGTTTTGTGCATCATGTGTTGCATAATATGAACATTTCAGCCCAAAACTCCCCAAAACAGCCACCCACAGACCTGACACGCAGAGCTGAGCTGTGGCGCAGACATGCACTTTGCTGGTTGTGCTACCATTTGCTTAATGTATGTGTGTCCCCTAGGCCTTTCTGCTTTAAGTTTTCTGATGTAATAACATGCAGCAGGTTGTACAGCGAGTTCTCACACAGTCCGTGGCTGCCACCAAGTGGAGCAAGTGAAGAATCAGCTGCTTGTGTTTTGTGAAGTGCTTTAGTCCCACAGCAATGTCCTACTGACTGTTTCTCACCATAAGATGCTAGAGATTGTACATGCTTACACCATGAATGTTGAAATTGTTGCCATTGAGATCAAATTGAAGTTTGTGATTTTTCTTTTCTTTGGTTTATTTGATCTAATTTGAGAAGCATTGCTCAAGCTTGCTTTAAGAAAAGTGTGCTTTGTACCATAATGTGTGCATGTTATTCAGTGTTTGTTTCTGCTTCTGTCTTCTCTTACTTTCACAGACCATCTCTGTTTCCTTCCTGCAGCTAGAAATCGTCATGTTACGCCTCAGCACTGATGTGAATTCACACCCTGTTCTGTTGATTATCTCTCCTAAGTGATGCCATGACTGCAATTCTACTTTTTTCTCTGTAAATTCTTTTGTCTCTGTTTCACATTGTTTTGCTTTTTCTTCACTTCCTCTGACCCTGTCTGTCTGTCTGAACCCTTCCACATTCCCCTCGTCCTCGTCTGCCCCTCTTTCTCAGAAGAGAAGGTGAATTTGGATGACAGTGAGTGGGAGGACATTCATGTCATCACAGGAGCTTTGAAACTTTTCTTTCGTGAGCTTCCGGAGCCTCTGGTGCCCTACGGCTTCTTCACAGACATCATGGAGACAGTCAGTGAGTGACCAGCTTTCGTCTCATTCCCCCATCAGATTTCTTTATACAGTACCTCCCTCCCCCTTAGTGAGTGTTGCTCAGAGTGACAGGTCTTCAATAATCTCATCACAGTTTACAAAATGTATGAATTAAAACAAAATATTTAATAGGCAAATAATCATTAATATAACGACAGTGTAAAGTTAAGAGCAAGTGTCAGTTTGGGATAGGCAAGTAGTAGTTAGGATTGAAGATAGGGCAAATCTCTGTGAGAGGCTGTTTATATGTAGAGACCTGGTAAAGATGTGTGTATTTACTCATATGCTTAACGTATATTAGGAAAGATCTATGAACACAGTAAAAGTAGTGTGTCCCAAAACTAAAACTGCCTGAATTCCATGGCAAGAAAAGAGAGAATACATACTGACAACTGGAATTTCTTGAGCAGTATTGA